TGGCAGGCAGAGCCGGTGCCGGCGCCGCCGCGTTCTGTGACTCCGGAGCTCTCTCTCCCGCAGGGCGGTTCTTCTACCAGCGGCTGGTGGAGTTCATGGCCAGGTACGGGGCGGGGCGCGGGGAGACAGCTTGTCCTTGTCTGGCCTGAGCTCCTGCGCCCGGAGGGCCTGGGTGTGGGCTGTGCTGCATCAGGCCCTGGTGCTTGCGACGTACCGGGGTGGGAGGCTCTGGGCCCGAGGGTGGAGAAATGTCCGGACCCAACTGCCGGGACAACGGCTGTACTTGGTGGGGAGGCATCGCCCAAGGGCGTGCGTGCCACCGCCTAGGAGAAGGTCACTCGTGCAAACCCTTTACCTCTGTGCCGTGGGCTCAGTGTCTGGTGCAGTGGGAGGTCTGTGTCCCCTCCCAGAGAGCACTGCACAGCACTTGCTCTTCCTGCTTCTTTGTGCTTGCCCTATTTAGGAGAATGAAGGAGCTGTGCCCTTTTGTAACCTTGTCTACATCTGCTTGTCCCTTGTCCTTTTCTCAGTGGCCCCATGTGGGCGTATATCTTGGCCCATGAGAATGCTGTCCCCCTCTGGAGATCCCTGATGGGACCCACCAAAGTCTTCCGAGCCCGAAACAACGTCCCAGACTCCATCCGAGGAGCTTATGGCCTCACGGACACCAGGAATACCACTCACGGCTCAGGTAGGCCTGTCTTTGGAGGGGTGTTGTGCAAAGACTCGAGCTCAGGGAGGTGTGAATGATGGTGTTTTGTCTGCCTTTGCTTGCTTTCTGTTCTGGAGTCAAAGTTAATGATTTGCTCACTGCTGTCCTTGTGCAACCGAGCCCAATGCTTTTCTTTACAGTGTCAGTCCTTCCATTTGGAACACACTTGTGTTGGTGGTACCAGACTGGCATCTCTCATTTTCTCCTCTGTTTTCTAACAGATTCTCCAGCATCAGCCAGCAGAGAAATTGCCTTTTTCTTCCCAGAGTTCAATGAACAGCTCTGGTACCAGCAGGAAGAGCCACGTCTGCGCTGTGGGCAGGTGTATTACAATGTCGAGGAGCGTGTCCACTGTGTGCTCAGGGCTGAGGAAACAGAGCAGAGCTGAGCTACCTGTGGGTGTGGTTTGCTGGGTGGAAGCATCTGCTCAGCACGCTGAGCCAGCGCCGTGGCAGGACGCAGCCACAGAGTGTTTTAAGGAGCGTCAGGGAGGGAAAGACCTAATGCACATCATGTTATGCTACCTGGGATTATGTTATTCATGCAGTGTATGGGAGCTGGGGCATTTTAGGAAAAACTTCTCAAGTAGCAGTACTCCAGCTCCATACAGAGGTCTAGCCACGCAGTTCTTTGCTGCGAGTGGTACAGGTGAGTCCATCAAAGGGCTAGGTGGAAGGGGGTTGCTAGTTCCAGTTAGGATATGATTGGTTTTCCTGGGCCTTGGATTCTTAATATTTGCTCTGTTCCCACAGTCCATTAAGCTGGAAAGAGGGGGAAAAAAATGCGAAAAAATGCAGTGGTAAGCAAGCCAATACTAACTCTCCAGTCCTTGCTTTCGTGGATCCAAACTGAGAAACAGGGTTGTCATCAGTTTTGTCTCATGATTTGTGTTCTGAGCCCTCGTCGGGGTTAGCAGCTGTTCATGTGTCCCGCGGGGCTGGGCTGGCAGCTGTGCTCCAGGGCCGGCCGCAGGGAGCTGTGGAGTGCTCCGGGCCTGAGAACGGTCTTCTGGGGTGTGCTTTTAAATTGCCTGGGGCATGAGATCCGCACTTCTGATGAAACTTGGTAGTGGCTGTTAGAGCTGTGGATTCCTGGAATCCATAATAAAATGCCAGAGAAGTTAATTTGAACACTGGTACCCAGGGGCTATGGAATTTCTGCCAGGAGCTCTTTAAGCCTTCTAACAAAATGCCTCATGGCAACTTGGAGACTTTGTTGCCTGTAGGTTCACTGGGCATCTAAGCACTGAGTTCCATGTCCTTTGTTACATGGACAAAGTAATTTAATTATCCGGATGATTGACAAATTTATTATATGGTGGTGCATGAGGACTTGGTTTTGAGGTACAGTGCAAGGTTCTGACATGCTTATTTATGCTGTTCTGTGTGATACTGCATTGTGACACCTGTTCCTGTATGAGTTTTTAATCCACTTAAACTGTCCCCCAATAGCTGCTTATAATGCTGATTTTTTAATTAAGGCGCCATGTTGTACTGAGTGAATTTCTTTTGGATCATTTCAAATGCACTGTATTGGTGAAGGTACCTTTGTGATGTACTCGGGACGAGACGTTTGTCAGCTTGACCCTCTTTTCTGAAGTTACCCGTGACTAGTGTGGATGGTACGAGTCGCTGAAGCGGTTGACTGAGCTGTTGGCCGAGTCCCAGGTTTACCAGTTACTGTGTCATAGGCCAAAGGCGCGTTACTCTTGGACTGGTTTAATACAACTCTGTGAAATGTTGGGTGTTTGTTTGAAAAATGTCTAATTGTATGAAATGCTGCCGTAGAGCTTCCTTGATTAAATACATCAACATTTTTGTTCCTTCCTTCCTATTATATGAGATTAAATGCAGTCATTGTTTTGTTCCAGGTACAGATCAAAGGGATCTGCGGAATATTTCTGCATTTTTGCATTGCTGCTTTTATTTTCACCAGCAGTATCCAATGGTGGAGCTGCTCATGCCTGAGTATGTGTTTACACAGCTCTGAAATCGTGCTGTCCTTAACGCTACTGTCAACTGAGATTTTGCTGATTCCCTGAGTTTCTGTTGTTGTGTGTTTTTCTTGTAACTATTAACCCTTACTACTGTTTTCATCTTTCTTCTTTATACTGTGGCATTCTTCTCGGGATATTAATTTGGGGTGTCATTAAATGATAAATCATAGCTTTCACTTCTTGTTTTAAATGTTTTTTTTCTAGACACTTGCAATTATTACATTTGGGTAAACTGACCCTTTTAAAATTTCAAGTACAAATAACACTGGCTTAGTGGTGCAGTGTTTTCACAGAATAATTATCAGATCACAGTCACCATCCCTTAGATACCTGCCAGTTCTTATGGCCATACTAACATTTCTTTGGTCCACCAGGACTGTACTTGAGTAGAGGTTGTCCTGTTTCCCTAGGCAGAGTCTTTATTTTGCAAATCTAAAGATGTTCTATGAACTTTTATCAGGAGATCTAGTATTGAAATACTTGGTGTTATATGCAGGAGATAGTATCAAAAACTATTTTTAATATCAAAGGAAGCCTTTGGATTTATGATATGACGGCAGATACTCTCTGTTTTGAAGACTCAAATGAAAGTATTTTTTCTTTTTTCTCCTCCTTGTAAATGCTCAATAAATGTTTTTTAACTTCCCCAGTGACACTTGGCATCTCTTTTGTATACCTCCTGGTGCCTCTTGGTCCTGTGGTGAATTAATTACCTTTGGTTTTGTAAATGGCTTTAATGTAAAACAATTTCTTGTACCCTTTCTCACTTTTTTCTACATGCTGCCCCCCTCCCTGTCCCCAATCTGTCTGAACAAGTTGAAATGTCTTAAGACTCATACCACCTCGTGCAGGGAGGCAGTTACAAACAGCAGGTGGGGGGCAGGCATGGCCACTGCAGTTTGCTGCAGCAACCTCTGGTTTCATGTAGCTGTTGTGTTCTGGAGGAGTCTCACATGCAATAGCAGATTCTGGAGAATCTTTGCACCGGCAGCTGCTTGGTGGCGTGTTTCTCTCCAGGAGATCTGTCCATAGTCGTGGCATTAATGTAGGAAAATGAAGATGTCCAGATAGATGACATCTGTAGCTCTTGTCTGCTGCCGTAGTCACTCCATCCCTCCATCCTAGAAGGCCACTAGGCTGGTCAGGCAGGACTTGTCCTTGGTGAAGCCAGGCTGTCTGTCCCAAATCACCTCCCTGTCCTCCCTGTGAACTGTTCCATGATCTTCCCAGGCACAGGGGTGAGGACTTTTTGCATTTCCCTCTACTGAATTGAATGAAATTCCCATGGGCCCAATTCTCCCTGAAGAGACTGCAGCCCAGGGAGGAACGAGGCCAGAGCAGACACACCTCTGAGGAACTGCAGCCTGCAGAGGACTTGCACTGGAGCAGCTACACCCCTGGGGGTCTGCAGCCCACAGGTGTGCTGTGACTGAGCAGAGGAAACAAGAAGGAAAGAGCAGTAGAAGAAAAGAGTAAGAAGCAGTGAGTGGCAAAGGAAAGTACAACACACTGACCCCAACCTCCTGTGCTTAAAAAGCATCACCTCACCAGAGGGATCGGGAGAAATGGAGGGTAACGCGCAGGGACAGCGAGGGGACCTGAGACTGGGAAGGGGGACAGAGGGTGTTGGACTGCAGCTGAGCCTGGGGAAGGGAAGGAAAGGTGTTTCCATAAGTGTTTCTTTAATTATTTGTCATCTTGATTTTTCCTCAGCATCCGAATCCCTAATTAAAAGTTTATGTTAATTGGCAACAAGTGAAATTCCTCAAGCTGAGGTTGTTCTGCCTATGATAGCGGGGATGGGGGTCCAGGCCTGACCTGAGATGGAGCTCTTGGGCCCGTGGGTGGAGGGCCCCAGTGAGACTGGTCAGGAGCCTTGAGGTGTATTAGTGCCCTCAGGCCGTCACACTTTTTGCCTTTCTCCCTCCTCTCAGGATCCTGAACTCTTCCATCCTGTGGTCACTACATCTAAGGCTACCCTCAGCCTTTACCTGCCTGACCAGTTCTTTCTTGTGTCCAGCAGAGCATCTCTCCATATCCAGAAACCTCCTGGGGGGGCCGTGCCCTGCTTGGCGGTGGAAGCAGTGCACTCCTGCGTACCTACACAATAGCTGTGAAAGCGTTGGATGTCGGAAGCCAACTCCAGGAATCCTCGGACTGTCTCAGGCCTAGTGCCAGTCTCCAGAGGGACTGTGAGTCTGGACTGTCCCAGCCCGACAGATTGGGCAAATCGCCCCAAACCACCAGTCACTCTCCACTGATGAAAGGAAGCACAGAATGTCTGGTCCAGGGGGGTCTGTGTCCTCTCTGTGCTACGCTGTGTACTACTCCAAACAGGTCAAAAAATCAGTGCTGGGGTCTCGAGTTCTGGCTGTCAAACCAGCAGCGCTGCCTTTCCCTGTAAAGTCTGTCTTGAGGGCTCATGCTGTGCTCCCTCTGTGCTCAAGGCGTGCTGTGTCCTGACCTCCAGCGCTGCCACAAACACTAAATTCCTCCAATAGTAAACCAAGTTCATATCTTAAACTGTGCCATGTACACTTCTGTGAAAGCTCTGGCACAGCTCCACGCTGTGCGATGTCTCAGCCCAGCTCTGGGCCCTGCCAACGCGCCTTTGCCGCAGCCCTGCCGCGGTTCCCGCTGCAGACATGGAGCTGTGGTCTGGCTCCTGTCAGCCGCCGCTGGGCTGGGGCTGGACACAGACCTGCATCTCCCTGTGCACCCCCAGGGCCGGGAGCCCAGTGCTCCCAGTAAAAGCCGGGGATCTCAAACTGCCGTTACACCCCTGACAATCCGTCGTACCTCTGACGTGGCTGTAGTACCCTACCCGGGGCAGATGTGCTGCCTTGGAGTGGAGCAGGACTTTGGCCAGGAAGGCACAGGCGGTATGACAGATGGCCGCGGAACTGCAGCTTTGTACTTGCAGTAACTTCTGTTTTCCATGAAGTTACTGTCATTCAGGTAGTGCATATTGACTGCTAAAGCACTGTTTAAATTATTTATCTTTTTCTCCTTTTAATACTTAAAAACTTCACATTTATTTTGTTGTCTGGAGTATAAACAATTCAAAGATGGGAAGTCTCTATGGAACAAAGACATTCTTTCTCCATGTCTTGTTCTGCTGCCTGTACATTATGATGCAATGGATTACAACCAGTGTAAACAGCTTCAAAGTTCTTGCAGGAGTGACTGCCTTGAACTTTTAATAGCCCGCTTTGTGCTTGTTTACAAGGTCTCAAAGAAACGTGCTAGCTGAGGAAGTGAAGTGCTGTAGGCTTCTAGTAATTGGGAGTGAAGCCCTAGTGGTATTTTCTCTGTGGAGAGAAGCCTTGGGGAATGGGTACCAAACTGGAAACAAGAAAACTTCTCTCTCAAACTTCAGCCTTCTGTTTGAAGCATCTTGTTTCGAGCGTGTTAATTGGCCCCTGGGGCAGCCTTGATGGATGAGAAGCCTTGGAGGGCTGGTTCCCCGCAGCAGGACGGAGCTGGCCGTGGGGCGCCGGGGGCCACCTGTCCCCAGAAGGCTGGGGAGCAAGCATTAGGCAGAAGTGCTGCTCAGTGCTGACAGGAAAGACTTTACTTGTCGCTTTCTGAGTACAAGTTGTCCAAGGAAGCAACCGTGACCCTGGGGCTGGTGCCAGGACCCCACTTTCCATTGTCTGGGACTCTGTGTAGGTGTTAGACCTGCCCCCAAACCCCACAGGGCAGGGGCAGTACCACAGGATAATGCACTGTGTTGTGTGCTCATGGTGTTCGAGTGCGTGCACGCTCTTAGCTTCTGA